ACAGAAGGAATGGTCTGGTAGTTAAGAGAAAACGAGTCCAGTTCATTAGAACTCCCACAGTCGGCCATGATGATGACCCTGCTGGTCCGGCCATTCTGGGACCCAGAGCGCTCCTCGGCTTCCATGATGTTCATGCTCTCTTTCATCTTGCCAAAAACCACATGCTGCCATCTAACCACTCAGTCTTGGCAGTGCAGATGGAAAACTGAGAACCATTTATGTTTGGTCCAGCATTTGCCGTGGACAGGATGCCAGGACCTGTTTGTTTCAGGATGAAGTTCTCATCCTCAAACTTCGTCCCACAGATGGACTTGATGCTGGTACCATTGTGGCACATGACGTCACCACCTTGGCACGTAAACCTGGTATAATTCTGTGAAAGCAGGAACCCTTATAACTAGATCCTTTCTCTCCAGTGTTCAAAGCTTGAACATTTTCTGCTGTCTGTGGAACTTTGTCTGCAAACAGCTTGAAGGAGACACAGCCCAAGGGCTCACTGGGCATTGCAACAGCGATGTTGAAGAACATAGTGGGGCTGACCATGGTTGAGGGTGAGAGTCTTGGGCAGCAGTATCTGCAAAGCCCATTGTGATTTTAACTAAGTTGAGTAAGCAAAGTGTGACACTTGAGTTTGAGTAATAGATTTTTCTTGGTTTTCGTAACTCACACATTTAAAACATTTTTTAAAAATAGTTGTAGGTTTGGGACTAGCAGTTAGTGTAATGGCTATGTTGCTGGACTCCCATGTAGTCGACTGTGGTTTGAGTCCCGGAACTGGTGGCTTAAAACTCATGCCGGGTACATGTGCATGCCCAAGATCCCAAGAGGAGAATGGAGGAGAAGGGATTGTGGCATGGCCGTCCCCCATGGGGGGTGATTTCTCGCTTTCTGTCTCTGTCTCTCTCTCGCATGTGCCCTGTAGCAAAAACCTCTGTAGGTTTATAAAAAAGTACAGTACATGGGGCCGGCAAGTGGCATAGTGGTTAAGGGCGCTGGACTCCCACATGGCCAACCACGGTTCAAGTCTTGGACCTGGTGGCTTGCTTTCTCACTTCCTCTCTGTCTCTCTCTGATCAAACTGGGAAATAACAATGATAATAATAAATAAAGTTGAATAAAATAATTCTTTAAAAAAAACGGTACAGTACAAAGAGCTTTTTCCCTGAATCTTTTGGGAGTAAGTATCTAAAGTGAGGTGCCACATTATCCCAAATACTGTCTCCTGATGTTGAGAACATTCTGTATGTTGGTAACAAAACCCTCAAGTCAGTGTGTCGGGTCACGTGGGATCCAGCTAGCTCAACCACCATGCTTTAAGGCCAGCCGAACGTGAGGATTTCGTGTCAGGCTTCCTTCACTTAGGGCAGTCATTCTGAGGTGCCCATGGTAGGATGCATCTCCTGAGTGTCCTGTTGGTGCGGTGCTCTCCCAGGTGGGCATGTCACACTCTGACAGGGCTGTCTAGACCAGTGCCACTTTGTGTGGTCTCGGTGCCTTCGAGTATTGCAGACTAGTTACTCCGTACAGTGTCTCTTAACGCAGGCCTGTCTGCCAGACCTTGGTTCAGACGTGTATGTGATTGCTCTTTTTCCTTGCTTACTAGTGGTTGTGGGAAGGTACTTAGAAAGCACGTGTATGCCTTATTCTTCATCACACTTCTGGTGTTTTATTAGCAAGGACCTTGGTTATATTTCTATGGCTTGTACCCTGCTGACCGTCACGGTATACCAACCCATTCCGACACCGAGTGGAGTGGAAGATTTACTAGGACTGGTGGGTACTTGACCTCCCTCATGTGGGCTGTGTGGGCTCGCTGTGCTTTGCAGGCACGGTGTCTGAGTTCCTAGCATGGCTGTCCCTAGAGGGGAGCAGCCCTGTGACCAGTCGTGGGATTCACGTGGCCTCGCGTCCAGAAAAGGTGGAGGCAGCAGCAGCACTGTCGCACAGTGCCATGGCGAGGGCATACGTGCCCTGCTCCCGGGGTAGAGCATCAAGTCATGGTGGGAAGAACGTGGAGAGAAGGTACACTGCATCTGTTCATTTCCTAGTATTTGATAGAGGGCGCTCGCCAAGAGAGACAGAGTGAGAAGTCACCACCACCCCCCCAGTGGGGGTGCCACAATCCTTTCTCTTGCATTCTCTTGTTGGGATTTTGGGCACATACATGCATGTGCCCAGTGTGATTTTTAAGCCAAGTTGAGGACTCTCACTGCGGAGTCAGCCATGTGGGATCCAGCCGCCTTAACCTCCACACCACCTGCTGACTCACTGAGCGTATCTTTGGAAAATTCAGTTTGCCCCAGGTTATAATCTTTTACAGTCATTCACAGTACGATGCCCACATTGTCCCATACTTGGCCTTGCGAACCTTGTTTCTTTTGTGTCCTTTTGACAAACCTTCTCATTTTAGAGCAGCTGCTTTATTTCTGGCAGGAGGTATTCTAGGCTTGCCTGAGTGTTGCTGTCGGCAACACTGGAGTCAGCCTTCCTTCCAGGAGTCCTGGTTCTCTGCAGAGGAGTGTGGAGTTACAGAAAGATGGAGATGGGACCAGCTGTGCCGCCTCTTGCTGGGGTGCTAACCACTCCAGGCTGTCTGTGGCCAGAGTATGGGTGTCCATCTGCACTTGCACGCACACATGCATGCTTGTGTGACAGTTACTTTCCTACCTGTGTGTGGGAACAGTGAGGTGGTGAAGAGGGCTGTACACATCCTCGTCTGTTCCTGTGTGCATCCAGGTCTTACTTCCTTGGGGTAGAATACTTGGCCCATGTTTCACCTGCATGTTAATCTCTTTCAAGCTGGTTGCACCGGTTTTTATTTTTTTTATTTTTTATTTTTTTGGAAAGGTCTTTGCTATAGGGCATGTGCGCTCGCCAGACAGACAGAGAGAGACATAGAGACAGAAAGCAAGAAATCACCCCCCAGGGGGGATGGTCACGCCGCAATCCCTTCTCCTCCATTCTCCTCTCGGGATCTTGGGCACGCACGCACACGCGCCCGGCGTGAGTTTTATGCCACTGGGTCAGGGACACTAACCGGGGTCGACTACGTGGGAGCCCAGTGACATAGACATTACGCTAACTGCTGGTTCCCCTGGCTGCACCATATCATGTCCCTGTTAGCAAGGTATAAGTGCTTGGCTTTCTCCACGGCCCGCTGGCGTAGGCCTCCTGTTTTAATCACAGATGCTCTGGGAAGTGTGTGAAGAGGCCGTTGTGCTTTGGTTTGTACTACTCTATGACTGACGAGGCCAGCTGTGTTTTCATGTGCTTGATGGCCATTTGTAGGTTGCCGTTAGAGAAGTATCTGTTCAGATCCTTTGTCCATTATCAAATTGGATTATTTGTCTCTGAATTACTATTTATTTTTATTTGTTAGATATTTGCCATAGGGTGTGTTGTGCTCTCTGGGAGATACAGGGAAAGTGAGAAATCAACCCCCAGGGGAATGGCCACACCACTGTCCCTTCTCCATTGTCCTTTTGGGATTTTGAGTCTCAGACCTGGCAGCTTGAGTGTTTTTCAAGCTGCCAGGTCTGAGACTCAAAACTGCAGAGTCAGCCATGTGGGATCTTCTTCATACAGTCTAGATATCAGTTTTAGAAAAATGATTTGCAAATACTTTCTCACATTTCGTGGACTTTTTTTCTTTTTCTTTTTCTTTTTTTTTCTGAGATGTTTTTGCTATAGGGCACATGTGTCTGCCAGAAATCAGAGAGAGAGACAGAAAGCGAGAAATCATCCCCCCAGGGCAGATGCCATGGCCATGCCTCAATCCCTTTTCTTCCATTCTCCTCTCGGGATCTTGGGCATACACGCCTGGCATGAGTTTAAGCCAGCAGCTGTGGGACTCGAACCATGGTCGACTACATGGGAGTCCAGCGACATAGCCTTTATGCCAGCCGCTGGTCCCGACTTTTTGCATTTTTGAAGATGTCCTTTGAAACTTCTTTTGGAATTATTTATTTATTTAATTTTATTTGTTGCTGTTATTTTTTATTCTGACCAGAGAGACAGAGAGAAAGGGAAGGTGAGAAAGCAGGCTACCAGGTCCAGGACTCGAACCACAGTCGACCATGTGGGAGTCTAGCACCCTGACCACCATGTCACCTGCTGACTCAGCACAAAGGTTTTTTTTTTTTTTTTTTGAGAGGTTTTTGCGATAGGGCACGTGCGCTCACCAGACAGAGAGACAGAGAGACAGAAAGCGAGAAGTCACCCCCCAGGGGGGATGGCCACGCCACAATCCCTTCTCCTCCATTCTCCTCTCGGGATCTTGGGCACGCACGCACATGCGCCCAGCGTGAGGTTTAAGCCACCAGATCCAGGACGTGAACCGCGGTCGACTACATGGGAGTCCAGAGACATCGCCATTACACTGACTGCTGGTCCCAGTGCAAAGGTTTTTAATTTTGATAAAGTCCAGTTCATTTGTTCTTTTATAGCTGGTGCTTTTTGGTGTCATATCTGTGATTCTCTTGCCAAATCCAAGGTCATGAAGATTTATGTCTGTTTTTCTTGTAAGAGTTTTGTAGTTTTAGGTCTTCTACATAGAAGTATGATTCACTTTGAATTATTTCCTATTTATAACAAGTCTAAGCTTATTCTTTTGCATGTGGCTGTCCCATTTTCCCAGCACTATTTGTTGAAAATTATTCTCTATACTTAGTGTCTTATGTACCTTGTTAAAAATGTACATTTATGAATATACACACATACAAATGCTTCTCTACTTACAGGGTTACATCCTTTTCTTGGGGGGGCAGTTTTTCGCTATAGGGCACGTGCGCTCGCCAGACAGACAGACAGAGACATAGAGACAGAAAGCGAGAAATCACCCCCCAGAGGGGATGGTCACGCCACAGTCCCTTCTCCTCCATTCTCCTCTCGAGATCTTGGGCACGCACGCACACGTGCCTGGCGTGAGTTTTAAGCCACCGGGTCCGGGACGCGAACCGCAGTCGAATATGTGGGAGTCCAGCGACATAGCCATTATGCTAACTGCTGGTTCCCCAGGGTTACATTCTAATAAACCTACTGTAAGTTGAAAATATCTCAAGTTGAATATGTATTTAATGTACCTAATCTACCAAATATCAGAGTTTATTTAGCCTCACCTACTTTAAGCGTCCTCAGAACACATTAGTCTACACTTGGGCAAAACCATCTACACAAGGCCATTATAGTAAAGTGTTGGATATTGCATGTGATGTATTGCATTGTTGTTGAAAGTGGAAAGCAGAATGGTGGTTTGGGTACTCGAGCTAGAGTCTGCACCGAACGTGTATAGATTTTGCACTCTTGGGAAGTTGAAGAACTGGAAGTCAAACCATTGTTGTCAGGGACCATTTGTACTTACTGCAGTTCTGTTTGCTTCTCTTTTAAGGAAAATTTCAAAAATGTTTCAAAATCCTGTGGAAAATCTTGACAACATCAGAAAAGTGCGAAAAAAGGTCAAAAGCATTCTCGTGGATATTGGGCGTGACAGCTGTGAGGAGCTGCTGCAGGTGAGGGGCCCAGATAGCAGGTTGGGGTGGTGGCAGTTGTGGACTCTGGGCTTGGCTTATTGAGGTGAGATATTTTTTTTTTTTGGGGGAGGTTTTTACTATAGGGCACGTGCGCTCACCAGACAGAGAGAGAGACATAGAGACAGAAAGCGAGAAATCACCCCCCAGGGGGGATGGTCACACCTCAATTCCTTCTCCTCCAGTCTCCTCTCTGGATCTTAGGCACACACACACACGTGCCCGGCATGAGTTCTAAGCCACCGGGTCCGGGATGGGAACTGTGGTCGACTACGTGGGAGTCCAGCGACATAGCCATTACGCTAACTGCTGGTTCCCCTTGAGGTGAGATTTGAACTGGGGTTTTTGAATTATTCAAAACAGAAATTGCTGATATTTCAAACAGCTACATCATTAATGTGAAATGAAACATCATTAATCTTGTTTACGTTTGTTCAGGTTTTTTTTTTTTTTTAAATTTAATTGTTTTTTAAGGTTTTGCCATAGGGTGTGTGCCTATTGGAGAGAGATAGAGGGAAAGTAAAAAATCCCCCCCCTCCCGGGGGGAATAGCAATGCTACAATCCCTTCTTCATTATCCTCTGGGATTTTGGACATGCACACACATGCACCCAACATGATTTTCAAGCCTCCAGGTCTGGGACTCAAACTACAGTCGTGCATGTGGGAGTCCAGCGCTTTAACCACCACATCACCTGTTAGCCTTGTCTAGTTAGGTTTTTAAAGCTACTTTTCTATTAGGAGAGGATTTTTATAGCCATTAGTTGGGAAAACAAACAAACAACTTGTTTTTGATGTTTGAGGGGAATGCGTTGAATTATTTGCTGTTTTAGCAGAAGGTTATCTTAATTTTCCAGTGTTAATCACTGTGATGCGTACGTCGTCTGTTGGTGTTTCTGTTCTCTTCTGTGAAGTTGTGTCTCTGTAGTCTTAGGAAGTGTAAAGGTAAGGTCTCAGTCAGTCACACCCTTTGCTGATGTTTCTCTTACAGTTTTATCCTCTCTGATAACATTAACAATACGTGGTTGGCTTATTAGTTTGAAAAATGTTAAGTGAGGGCTGCTGTGTGTCCTCAGTCCGTGCCTTTTCTTCACGAGTGTGGGAATGGAGACACTGCTCTACAGTGTTTTTGTTTGTTTGTTTGTTTCTGTAGGTTTTTGCGATAGGGCATGTGCACTTGCTGGAGAGAGACAGTGAGACGTAAAGTGAGAGACTACTCTTGGGGGGGATAGCCACGCCACAGTCCCTTTTCCTCCATTCTCCTTTTGGGATTTTAGGCACATATGCGCATGCACCTGATGTGCATTTCAACCTACCAGGTCCAGGACTCGAACTGTGGTTGGCTACGTGGTAGTCCAGCGCCTTACTGCCACTCCAGGCCCCCTACTTTGAGTTTTTAAAACTTGTAAAGAATTTGGTTCAGAGTAGTATGGCCTGGGAAGAGTTCAGTTTCTTAATTTTAGATTTTTCAACCTGGTTTTTACTTGTAAAATGTCAATCTAATACTGAAAAACAAATAATTACCAGGATTCCCATTAGTGGTTAGAATTAATCTTTGCTATCAAGTTGACATAGTATTAATTTATGAGGGGCTCCAAATAGGTCTGTGAAAGCTCTTTACCCCTAAAATGCTGCTCTTCCCCACTGTCCTACCTCTTCTCTCCCCTGCTGTACTTTCGTTAGCAAAGCACTCCTGCTACTAGACACTGCTCACGATTTGTCTCCCTAACTGGGATGTAAGAAGGCAAAGACCTTACTGTGTTGTTACCCTGTTCTACCTGTGATTCCTGTTCTACCTGTGATCGGGGTAGTGTGTAGCAGATAGACACTTAACAGATGCTTCTTCAATGAGTGAATGGAACTAAAACTCGAGTAGAGAAGTATTTTAAATAGCAGATTGACCAGAAGTTCATTTGGAAGGAGAGATGCTGGAAGTGGAAGCTATCAGGTACCCCCTGTTGTTCGGAAACAGTCTTAAAATAAGAAAACTTATGGAGTTCTTAGCCCTGCCTGTAAGTCATATTTTATACATGAGAAAGGGAAACATAGTAATTATTAGGCAGCAAGTTTAAGAATGGAGTATTTGTTGAGTAGGTTGAGGGTAGACACAGTAGACTTAGAGTCCATTAATAACGGAGAAATATAAATTTGGTGAAATATAAATTCGCGACTTTGAATAATACCTGCAGAGTATATGAAGTGAGTACCTAAGACCACAGGGGTGTGTGTATAGACAAAGTCTCCTATGAAAGTACATAGGAGACTCCTAAAATGGGGCTTGGCACCTGGGAGATGCTCCGACTTTTCATGAAGTGTGTATTCTTTTGATCATTAGAGGGTTAAACAGGAGCCTTTTATTTTAATCCTGGCTATTAACTAATGTCGTAACCTTGGTTAATCAGTTAATCTTGACCTTGGTACCCTTGCCTTAGTGAAGGAGTATAGAAAGTCCAAGTCTTAGAGAGGGACAGTTGAGCAAGAGTCATAAGAGACTCCAGACAGTGCGAAACAGGCAGGAGGATGGTCACATCTATCCTGGGAGGCTGGGAGCCTTCGTGGAGGAATTGAGAGTTGAACTGCTACTGCTTGAAGTTTGGCTTTTAAAAGAATAGGTAGGATTCTCCAGTGGAAAGAATTGGAGTGGGTATTCAGGAACACTGCAGTCTAGTTGATTAAGCCCCACTACACATGACTGAGCAAACTCGTTTTTTTGGGGGAGAGGTTTTCGCTATAGGGTGCGTGCGCTCGCCAGGCAGACAGAGACATAGAGACAGAAAGCAAGAAATCGCCCCCCAGGGGGGATGGCCATGCCGCAATCCCTTCTCCTCCATTCTCCTCTCGGGATCTTGGGCACGCACGCACACACGCCCGGCGTGAGTTTCAAGCCACCGGGTCCGGGACGCGAACCGTGGTCGACTACATGGGAGTCCAGCGACATAGCCATTACGCTAACTGCTGGTCTCGCAAACTCAGTTTTTGAAAAATGTTCTGCTTGGAACTAATTCAAATCTTAGAAAAGTTACAAGAATGAATTGAGTCCAGAGAACACTCCTCATTCTTTGCTAGATTCACAGCTGTTAACACATTATCCCTTTAACATTTCCTCACTCTGGCATGTGCTCTCTTGGTGTATATATCCCTGAACCATTAGAGAGTAAGGTGTGAGGGCCTGATGACCCTTCAACCTAAATACTTGGGGGGGGCAGTGGGTGGTATAGTGGTTAAGGTCCTAGACTACTGTGTGGTTGATTGTGGTTAGAGTCCCGGACCTGGTGGCTTGAAACTCAGGCCAGGCGTGTGTGCCAAAATCCTGAGAGGAGAATGGAGGAGAAGGGATTGCAATGTGACCATTCTTCCCAGGGATTGATTTCTTGCTTTTTGCCTCTCTGTCTTTCTCTAGTGAGTGCATGCATCCTATAGCAAAAATCTCTAAAAAAAAATAAAAAAAAAAAAGGAACAAAACCCGAAATACTTCAGTGTGTGTGTGTGTGTGTGTGTGTGTGTCCCAGTCCCATAGTGCACATGTGCTCACTGGAGGGATGAGTGAGACAGAGAGAGGGAAATCCCTCTAGGGGGATGGCCATGCTGTAATCTCCTCTCCTCTGTTCTTCGCTTGCAATTTTGGACATATACACACACACTTTCCTGGCATGTTTTCAGGGTGCCAGGTCCAGGACTTGAACTACATAGTCATCCATGTGGGATCCAGTGCCTTCAACTGCTACACCACCAACTGGCCCCAAGCATGTAATTTTTTTAATTGCCAGAGTGCATATGACTCTCTAGAGAGAGAGAGAACCCCCTAGTGGAGCATGGTCGCCCCACCATCTCTTTGCCTTCTTTTTTCCATCCTGTTGGGATTTGGAGCATGCACACTTGGAGTGTTTTTCAAACCACCAGGGCAGGATTCCAGCCATGGTCAGCTCTGAGTGATCTAGCTCCCTAACCACTAGACTGGGATGACTCACCAAGTATGTGTGTCTCTAAGTATCTCTTTCCTCACTGCATGCTGATCTGTAGCCAAGATAACATTGACAGGGTGGTCTAGACTAGTTTAGTCTTATGTAGTGTTGTCTCTTTTCCAGTAATGTATCCAGTCTAGTGTCAGGTATTACATTTGGCTGTTACATCTCTTTAGTCTCCTTTTAATGTGAATTTTTTTTTTGTTCCGTCCTTTTTTAAAAAAAAAAAAAATTGTATTTAATCACATATATTTTTTGCAGTGTATTACATTTCTTTTTCAAATATCATTTGCCTTGAAAAGAGAATTTACCCAACATGAAATACTTCTCAGATCAGTCCAGTTGAGAATACATGTTAGCATCAACAGGTAATAAACCATTTCTGTGTCTCACTGAAAGTCATGTCTCTCTATTTGTTCTCTTGCTGTTCTTCTCTATACTCTTCCCTTCTCCCCCAACTCCCCATTCCACTTTGTCTTCAGCATCCATAACTATTTTCACTGCTTTTATGCCCTCCAATATTTCAGTCTCTACCATAAAGTGCAGGTAGTTGGCATATATTAAGTGGATACATATAATATCTTTCTTTCATATCCTGGCTTGCTTCACTCAGCAATAGATCCTCCATATTTGACCACTTTCTATCAAATGCCAGGGTCTTGGTGTTTTTTATGGCTAAGTAGTATGCCATAGAGTTATGTGCCACACTTTTTCCATCCATTCATCTGTTTGTTGACATTTAGGTTGGTTCCATGTCTTAGCTCTTGTGAATAAAGCTGGCAATAAACATTGATGTGCAAGCAGTTTTCCGACTGAGTGTTCTCCTATCCTTTGGGTAGATACTCAGAAGTGGGATTGCTGGATTCGAATGGTAGTTCTATTTGTAGATCTTTAGGAACCTCCATATTGTTTTCCACAGTGACTGGACCAGTTTACATTTGAACCAACAGTGTAGGAGAGTTTCCCTTTCATCACATCCCCACCAGCACTTAGCACTTTTTGTATTTTTAGACTTTGCCAT